CCCCCCAAAACCACAGGACGAACCATCGGCATTCACTCCCCAAAGCCGCGCCCTCCACCTGCGCCGCTTCCTGTAGCACGGCGGCGGCCGGATCTTCCTGTGCCGCCACCTCGGCGAAGGCATTGGAAGCGAAGGAGCACCGTGTCTTTCGATAAACCTCAGCTATCTCCACCTTGCGGGAAGAATGGATCGTGAAAATATCAAACACATAGCAAACGATGACCAACATGTGAGGGAGGGTCAATACTTACCCTAAGAATCCGGACCCTCAAACACATAGGGTTTTGAGGGCCCGGACCCCTGCTATGGAGGGTCCGACCCCTGCCATGGAGAGCCCAAGGATTCTTAGGGTATTAAATAAATATATGTTGTAAGTACAAAACATAGGCGTTATTGGTTTTGAATTGGACCTGATCGTTTTCCAGTTGTGAGTTGGCCACATACTTATGATCATATACAGCGGCTGGGCTTATCGGTTTTGAGGTGGACCTTATCGTTCTATGGGGGTTTGTGCACAAACCTAATTACCCCTCTTTACTTAAGTGGTCTTCCCGAAGTTTTGACCGTAGCTCATGCGCTTGCAGCCGCTGCTTCGCTAAGGGTCTATTCCGTTCCCTCCAAGTGAACTAACGCATCCTTTCACTTGTTCCAATCGCTGTTCTGCTCGCGCCTCCAAATTGGCGCCCAGCGTCTCTGCGAAGACTTGCTGCCTCGGGTGAACACAGAATTTCAGTCAAGATCATCGGAGTTCTTTGGAACCAATTATACAGGGAACATCAGTTGTCCGTGCCTTACCAAAGATCCACTGCAGATCTTCCAGTCAACATCCTTTGCCGCAAAAGCCTCCAGAAAAACTTGGTGACCCGGTTTAAAAGTATTTTAAAGAAACAGCGGTGTAATAGCGATGGCCTCCAATCTACTGGCGATGGCCTCCAACCTACTGGTGATGGCCGCCAACCTAATAGCAATGGCCTCCAACATCCTCTGCCCACAGCCCTTGTGGCAACCGATCTCACATGTCCAAGAGGCTCTGATGACCCTGCGTCGCCCAGCTTTGCAATCTTCTCCGCGAAGCCTTCTTCGAAATGAGCAAAACCGTGACCGGCCAGACTTCTTGTGACTCCAAGCAGATTCCTTTGCTAGTAATCACAAGTGCCTTACTAGTAGTAACAGGTGCCTTACTGGTAGTAACAAGAAGCTAGTAATTACAATTCTAATTAAAATCTTTTTGTTACTACTAGTAAGGAACTTGTTCCTAGTAGCGTGGCACTTGTTACTACTAGCAAGGCACTTGTTACTAGAAGCGATGCACTTGTTACTAGTAGCTTCCTACCCCCGGCCAGACTTCTTGCGACTCCGAAGGCCAGAAACCCAGAGGTGTGAGAAGGCCGGAGACTGGACATGTTCTTATCTCCACAGCGTTGTGTCTACTGTGCGTTCTTAGCTGCTTAGCCGCACGGCATGTGTCAGGTGTGTCTGGCTGAACATGTTCATCCAAGAATACACTTGAAGCATCCAGCTCGGTGTGAACAATTCCGAGAAACACGCAAACACCGGACCCACCAATCGCAGTTCAAGGACTCAACCCCCGACTTGTCGTGCGCCAGTCCGCACGAGCCCACGGCTACGAGCGAACCCCCCCAATTCAAGAACGAAGGCCCACCAAAGCAACCCTGTGGCGCTACTTTCTGCACCCAACCCAACAACAGGGTGTGCCAAACCCACTGACCACACCGCCGCTCCAACAACACCGACGGATCTCTGGGATCGAACAATCCAACGACCGATCTCAGCTCCGCGCCAGTGGCCACGTCCTCCTGCCGTGAACAAAAGAAGCACCCCATTTTTCTCGAGATGATCTCCTAAATGGTCATCTTCAGTGGACAATTCCACGATTCGTGGGGTGCCCTATTTGCATCCGGCTTTGGCCGGTTCCGGTGTGAGCTTATCAGTTGCAACGTCATCGGGCTTCTGGTGTGACATCGGGTCGTCTTCGGAACGATCCTCCAATCTTCCACGAACGAACATCGATGTCAGTGGTTGGACCACTCTCCATCTTCGGCAGGTTGCCAGTGAACCTGAACCCAACTAATGACATTTCTTTGCTACATGCCTTTCTCAGAAATCCTGTGGCAAAACTCCTTGTTTTAGTAGTTATACCGTTTTTCCGTTATACCTCTATAGAATATATGCTTCAAAGCCTCTCAAAGCGACACCGCCGCGACACCTGCTCCGAGCTCGTTCGTAGCTGGAAGTTCACGTTCACTTCGAAATTCCCCTGAGAAAGGCGAACTCATGCGAAGACGAACTTCAGCTTTCACACCGTGGAGCTGGTCTTCAGAAGCTGCTAGTAGCAAAGGGCACCGTGGAGCTGGTCTTCACACCAATATCCACCCCTACGACTCCAACCAATGTGTAGCCTGGGAGATGCCTGGAGCCCTGTTAGAGACGGCCTCCAGCCTCCAACCGACTTGCAATGCCGCCCGAAATGCTCCGTTCGTAGCATCCTTGCTCCGTTTGTAGTAAGGCCAGGAGCTACGTTCGAAGCGTCCTTGCTGCTAGCAGCGATGCCAGGAGCTACTAATAGTAGTGCTGGAGCCTTCTTGTAAGGGTTTGGATTTGCTGGCAACTTTGTTACAATCAAGGACGGTGAAACTGCATCACGTCAATCGCATCCAGTGAGCATTCAAAGCTCAAAGCATCTCACCCAAAGCAGGAGGGTTTGGAATGACCATCGAATACATGCTGAAACTGCCGAAACACCGATCATTCTCGTGTGCTGCCCAAAACTGAAGAATCTTCAAAGCAAAACTTCCAAGAAAGATCAAACAAGGTGGCCAGGACGCTATCAGGGGGGGCGCTCCTGGCCTTGCTAGGAGCAAAGAACGCTACTAGGGGCTCTAGGAACAAGAAGCTCCTAGGTGCTTCCCTTAGGCACCCGGAAGCCTTGTCCATTGGGTGGGTCCCTCGTGCTCACTGAGTGCCCCCGACACTTTGCAAGCGACGGGCCGCGGTCTCAGCGATGTGCGCTCGGGCAGTCGTGCCCAGAAAAACATGCCTCCAACTTACTAGCGATGGCCACCATTCTAGGAGAGATGGCCTCCAACCTACTAGCGATGGGGTCAGTTTTTCCCAAGCCTCTTCGAAAAAGTCTCTCTGTAGTTCCTCTTTCGGTGGTTCCCGATTTTGACCAAATCTCTTTGGCTCCTTCATGTTCCTTTCACACGGTAGAGCCTTCGAATCTACCCATGGCAAATTGGTATTGAAACTACAAATGCACGTCCAAGTTCTTTGTTGAGTTCCAGCAAAGCAGCTAGGCCCAGCTAGGAAGTGCAAGGAATAGCTCAATCATTGACCCGACCCCGGTCTTGATTGATTCCATTTGTTCTCACAATAAGCGATATTGCCAGGCAATGTTCTTCTATAGAGAAACCTGCACATATAGAACTACGTTGAAACTCCATAGCATTGATGTTGAAACGAGTTGAAACATTGAAACTCCAAGCAAAATGCAACTACTTTTGAGACTCTAGCTGTTCTCTGGCTATCCTGATGGCCCTCGCTATTAGGTTGGAGGCCATTGCTATTAGGTTGGAGGCCATCGCTAGGGGTGGAGAGGCCATCGCTATCAGGTTGGAGGCCATCGCTATCAGGTTGGAGGCCATTGCTATTAGGTTGGAGGCCATCGCTATCAGGTTGGAGGCCATTGCTATTAGGTTGGAGGCCATCGCTAGTAGGGTGGAGGCCATCGCTATTAGGTTGGAGGCCATCGCTAGTAGGGTGGAGGCCATCGCTAGTAGGTTGGAGGCCATTGCTATTAGGTTGGAGGCCATCGCTAGTAGGGTGGAGGCCATCGCTATTAGGTTGGAGGCCATCGCTAGTAGGGTGGAGGCCATCGCTAGTAGGTTGGAGGCCATTGCTATTAGGGTGATGATCCTCTTTCGTTTTACTCTTTCTCTCCTCTTTGAATCGCATCGTGACCCGCTTCGAACGGCTGCGCACCCCGAGAGGGCGGCTGACGTCAGCCTCCGCCACCGATTCCAAGACTTGGATAAAGAGGATGATGATGTCCTGAGATTTTTCAGACACATTAAGGGTCTTGACCAAAGAACATATAAACAAACGAAATGAATCTCTTGGGACATGGTGCAACAGGCTTCCTACCCGGTACCCGGTGCCCAGTCTAATTACCTGTGTATGTTGGCAAATTTTAGGACCTCTCTATTTGTCCTGTACTTTGGCGCCATAAACTTTTGACCACAACCACGTGTGCGTTCGTCAATGAAACACTCCCTGCATGGTGGCTACATCTCCATATCCTGGACCTGCTTGTGGGTGCTCATACGCAATCCGAGCGATCAACACAATCCAACACTTTCAGGTGTTTCTGCACTTGCAATTGGTCAGGCATCGATGTACACCAAAACACCAATACACTCAGCATACCTCTCAAGCCCAACAATACAGCTTTTGGATCCAAAGTGTCTTTTTGGACCCCATGGTTTGATTTCTTTCCAATCAGTAGTGCCCCGTTTTTACATCCATCCGCGGTTTTGTATGAAGTCCGACCCCCAAACACTGGCACTCCAACATCATCACTAAGAGTCCTCAAGCATCATCCAACCAGCGTCACAAGATGGATTCACCATAGTAGCAGCCTTGCTCCTAGTAGCGATGCCAGGAGCCCCTAGTAGCGTCCTTGCTCCTAGTGGTAAGGCCAGGAGCCCCTATAGTAGCTTCTTGTTGCTAGTAGTTATTCAATGAGGAACGTCTCAACTTAACCTCCCTCAATTTCCTCGCTTCTCATATGCCACTTGCGCGTCCAACACGTCAACACTCCGAGGGCCCACCTCCTGGTTCGCCAGTCCCAGACTGGCTGCCAGTGTGGCGGCATAGGCCCGCTTGGTGCTAGGCGTGTCCATGGCTGCCTGGGGGTCCACTTCAGGAGTTGCCAAGGGAGGGTGAATCACCCAAAACATGGGTGTTGTGTCTCTCTTTGGGTGTCTTTCACAAGTGCGGGGGCCATCAAAGACAACCGTTTTTTCGATGGAACAGTACAGAAAATTCATATCATGATAAGGTGCAAGATGGTTTGGAAGACCATGAAGACCATTGAAGACCAATACAAGGGGATTTCGAGACAAACTTTCAGAACACCTGAATTCTCCTCCCATCCTTGCTCCAAAAAATGATCGATCCCCTTTCGATTCCAACACCGGACACCATGCGGTGACGCGGCCTGGAGGTCCTCCTGGCTAGCGCCCTGGATGGTCGGCAGGGCGAAGGCCACCGCCGACTCTACCACCTTCACCGCCTGCGGAGGCGAGGCGCGGGGTGCGAGGCGAGGCGTCGGAGGCCTGCGTGGAAGAAGATCGGAGACCGTGAGATCAAACATCATGTTTGTTATTAGGAGCAAGGACGCTACTAGGGGCTCCTGGCATCACTACTAGGAGCAAGAAGCTAGTAGGGGCTCCTGGCCTTACTACTAGGAGCAAAGACGCTACTAGGAACCGGTTCCCTTTCATCCTTTTCCTTTTCCTTTGTTTCTAATAGCAATGGCCTCCAACCTCATAAAGACTCCAACCTCAGTTAAAACATTGATTCATGAGGAATCTTCATGGGCGCTCATGGGTGCTCGGATTGAGACGTCCTCTCATGCGCCCAACTTGGCAAATGAAGCATATATTAGAAACTGGCTGATGCCAGTGAGTCTTGAACTTCACGAAGGCATGAGCCAATACATGCCCGGAACCAGCAATTGCCAAAGTGAACTGCCAAACCGAGGACTGTCCTTGCCCAAAACCAGCCAACCACCACTTCTGTGCGCCTGCTGCACTTGCCCCTCCTGCACCACCGGGCTACAGCCGGTGACATCCGTCAAAAGCACCGCCGCTTCGCAGCGGATGCCTTGTGCGCGCATGCCGACTCCGGTGAGGTCCATTCAGTACGTGTGGCGCACCAAGTGCGAAGTCAGCATGGTTTTTACGGCCATAAAAAGAATGCGACATGCAGGGTAGTTGGTATGTTGCACACAAACATACTAGCAAAACATGCATTATTGTTTAATATTGTTTAGTGAGAGATGTTCACCTGACCAGTGTGATGAGCCCCTGAGGTTTCAAATTAAGTACAGTAGATCCATAGAGATCGCCTATGGATTCCTACTTTTCAGTTTGGAGGATCCAGTCGTACCTTCTCAAGAAGGTATGTGGATTCCAAATCACTTGCTGTAACTTGCTCATCTGACTCCAGAACTGCAGCCGTCCCACAGCGTACCTTGTAGCCTAAGGCCTATACGCCTATACAGTACAAATAGTTGCTGTCTCAGGTTCAACCCATTACACGTTTGGGTTACATCCTGATCTCTGAGCTGTTTGGTCCTTTCCCCAGTCGGAGGTGGCGTCCACCAGCGGGGCGAGGGAGCGAACGCTGAGGCATCCCACTGAGCTGTCCCTGGTAGGTGCTGTCGAAGGTGGAGCAATTCATCATCGTCGACTCAAAGCCTCGCTGCCGCGTAGCGATGCCAGGAGCCCCTAGTAACGTCCTCTTGCTCCTACTAGCGATGCCCTTTGCTCCTAGTAGCGAACATTGCTCCTAGTAGTAAAGCCAGGAGCCCCTAGTAGCTTCTTGTTACTAGTAAGAATGCTCCTAGTAGCGATATTGGAGGCCATCGCCATGTTGGGCTAGGCATGCTGGCCAGCGGCTTTAGGGTGAGCGTTTGATTATTCAAATCTGTCCTCAAAGGACGGATGAAATGAGACCAACATCAACAGGTCTCCTGTACGGGCTTCTTCTTCCCTAACCGGTCCCAATGGATGACCTCTAGTAGGAGTCTGACTGGTGCGTGGGGTGAATGCATCTGAAGCTCGTCAAGTTATGACATGAGACTCCCACCAGCCCTTTGTCTCCCACGCCGTGATCAGTATGGAACACACCAAAATCGATGGGAGGGCCATGAATTCCTCGATGTGCCGAGTGGTTTGATTCCTCAAAGCACTTCGGACGCCAGGAGGTTCGACAGATGGGTGGTTTGGATCTGATCCCAGAACGAGATGCTGTGTCAAAGGGTAGGACGGGTAGGACAAGGACAACACCCTTTGGACGTGACAAGGTAGGCTGGAGACTTGGTCAAAGGGACAACACTGTTTGCAGTTGTCAACAAATTGGAAAAAACTGTGAACTGGAAAAGTACATTCTAACTACAACACTGAATTCCAACATAACTTGGCACCACTCAGGACGCAGATTCGAAACGAGCCGCCAAAAAGGTCCAGCAATCTTAGTCCCCGGACCCTGCAATTGCGATGGGATCGCGGTCTCTGAGACCGTGCTTCCCACCACAACCGTCACTGCTTGGCCTCACATACTGTCCAAAACGATTCTAGGTTGGAGGCCATTGCTTCTAGGTCCAAGACGTTTCTTTGTTCTACTCCCAAGGTCATTCGTCTTTGGATGATTTTGGATAGACACTTTCATGGGCTGCAAACTTTGATCATTAATCTTTCATCTTCCGACCCAAAACAGCTGTTTTGTCAAAACCCAGTGCACTGTGCAGCCCCATGGACCTGATTTCTAGGGCATGCCCGCATCCTAAGCCCAAGGCATCCATGCCCACAATGTTGACCATGCCCAAACGTGCATCGCTACTAGTAACGAGGGCATTACTACTAGTAGCTAGAAGCTACTAGTAGTCATGCCCTTGTTACTAGTAGCGATGCATTTGGGATCCACCAACTTGGAGTGCCTAATACTTTCCGCCACGGGCCACAAGGATTGGACGCGCGAAAACGCGATCGCGCTGGCCTGCTGCGCAGGAAGCAGGTGTACAACCTGCGAGGAGCTCCCAATGGATTCGTCTTACAAGGAAACCACATGAAGCCACCCTGTTCGTGAAGAACCTACTAGCGATGACCTCCCTAAAAGCGAATCAATGGACAATAGAAGCATCCCTGGTTGGTGAATCAAACAACGCCCAACATGCGCCGTCTGACGTTGGAGACACGTGAACGAGGGCGACCACAAGAAACGAGTCTTTCCCACAACGACAACGAAGAACTCTCTTAAAATGTTAAGAAAAATGAAAAAAAAACATGAAAAGAAACACAATATCTGGACTTGGTTCATGGTTCTCTTCATTTCTACAGTGTCTATACGGGTTCAGCTTGCATCATCTTGCAACTATTGACTTAGATTCCTTTCTTTCGAGGGTGTCCTTCAGGTGCAACCCACTGACCAGCCACTGCCCCCGCTGCTGTCGGTCCAAAACGATGCTGTCCGGTCACCGCTGCTGTCGGGCACCAGCTGTGTAAAGTTACACCTGGCGAAAAAGGTGGACAGGGATCCAAAAGCTGAATATTCCGGTCGACCACTGCTCTAATCAATTCCCCGTGGTGAAAAACATGTGGTGTCAAAAAGGGCCTCCAGGCTGTCCGCAAATTAGTCTCAATTGGTCTTTGATATTCAGAATGAGCCAGGAGTGCTATTGGATCGTTCCAGCCTCAATTCAACCGAAGTACCACAGAAAACTCAACTTTGGATGAAACCTCCTGAATGGATGTTTCTGTGCAAACTGCATCAGGCACCTACTGAGTGTTTGAAGGTTTCATGAATTGATCAGGTTTCATGCATTGATCGCCTCTGTCAGAACTGTGCAAAACATTGCAAAACCTCTTTTGGTCATCATTCATCATGTCTAAAAATTCTCAGACTACCCAGCTTCCCCTCTAAAACATGATCCAAACCCCTTTAAAACCAGAAACGCAGAAAACCATCGAAAACCGTCATTTCGATGTCAGTCCACCCTTCACTTCACTCCCAGATCTTGTCAAACGTTGCGTTGGGACTCCCTGCCCTGTCTGGAAGCTGCCGACCCAGCCGAACATCACCGATGCACAGCTCCTGAGCCGCGAGACGTGGTCGACCGATCGGCCCACCGTCGGTGGTCCAGCGAGGACGGTAGGCCACAGCCATGCGAGTAGTGCGTGAGTAGCATGCGAGTATGGGTATGAAATTCACCACAGTGGAGGCATACAGCAACGCCAATTGGTCGTTAGGTGTTTACCCTATTTTGGGGTTGGGGGTTGCAGAGCCTTACACTGAACAATGAAAACAGTGCTCCCTGGTTTTTCACGAATAGGGTTCAAATTACCATCTGGGATTGCAAATGCCTTCATTGCCACGGCAGAATGATAGTTGCAGACCTTGCATTCCCCCGCGAAAAGGAAACTCGCAAGACGAATCGTCGAAACGAGAAACATCGCGCCTGGTGCTGCTGCTTGCATGCGGCATGGATTGGTCCTGGGTTGGGGCAACCGGCTCGCCCTGGAAACCTACCCGCTTCAGTTTTTGAGGTCCCTTCCCGGGGGCGCTTGAGAGGTACATCATACGCAACTGATGCGTATGCAAGATTTACTAACAATTTGATATATGATATATGATACAATGGATAGGCTACACTGGAGCGGACAAGGGGAATCCGACTGTAACTAAAACAAAGTATCGCGATGGCCTCAGAAGGTGTTGGCGCAATGTGATTTCTGCCCAGTGCTCTGAATGTCAAAGTGATGAAATTCAAGCAGGCGCGGGTAAAAGGCGGGAGTAACTATGACTCTCTTAAGGTAGCCAAATGCCTCGTCATCTAATTAGTGACGCACATGCATGGATTAACGAGATTCCCACTGTCCCTACCTACTAGCTAGCGAAGCCACAGCCAAGGGAACGGGCTTGGGATAATCAGCGGGGAAAGAAGACCCTGTTGAGCTTGACTCTAGTCCGACTTTGTGAAGTGACTTAGGAGGTGTAGCATAAGTGGGAGCTCTGGCGATCTTGAAAGACCACTACTCTTGCTGTTATTTTACTTCTTCCGTGAAACTGAAGCTTGCAAGTTTTTGCTTTATTTAAGGCTGTCTCCTTTGCAAGCTGATCTGTGCGGAAGACATAGTCAGGTGGGGGAGTTCTTAGAGGGACTCTGTGCGTCTAACGCAAGGAAGTTTAGATGTGCTGGGCTGCACGCGCGCTACACTGATGCGCTCAACGAGTTTATGATCTTGCCCGAAATGGCTGGGTAATTAAGCTTTTTAAAATGCATCGTGATGGGGATAGACCGTTGCAATTATTGACCTTCAACGAGGAATTCCTAGTAAGCGCGAGTCATCAGCTCGTGCTGACTACGTCCAAGCCCTTTGTACACACCGCCCGTCGCTCCTACCGATTGAGTGATCCGGAGAATAACTCGGACTGACGCAGTGCTCAGTTTCTGGACGTTGCGTTGGAAAGTTTCATGAACCTTATCACTTAGAGGAAGGAGAAGTCGTAACAGGGTTTCCTTGTGAACCTGCGGAAGGATCATTCATTCGCACCGATCTACTTACTATATGTGAACCATTACTGTGAGGGACTGTTCGCGACATGCACCAGTGGTCAGATACGCGATCATTGACATCATGCATTCGGTTTTTGGTATCGAAACTGTTCGCACTAAGGCCGGAACCACTGAGAGGGTGATCTCCTGCAGTCGCTGAGGTCTGAGGCGAGCTACCAGGCATTCTCATCTTGCTTGTTCGACATCCCACGAGGTTGAGGGGTAAACCCTGCCTGTGTACAGGCTGGGCTCAGAAGACTGATGAAGGAAAGGGTCATTCATCAGTTGGCCACTGCTACAAAACCAGCCTGTAGGGCCTGTATACCTGTAAAAATCTGTACACAGGACACTTGCGATGCTCATGGCCGCCATACTCCCCCCTCTGCCATCACCGGACAATGCAATTTAAGCAGCGGTCCCTGCTGCCCATGGGTGTCTTCATGTTGCCCGGCTGGCAATCTGGCGTGAGACGACCGAGGAAGGAGGTGTCTTTCTTTCAGGTTCTGTCTTGAAAGGGGGTCTACCCATGGTCTACCTTACTGGCAGGTCGCTAGATTGCTTCACAAGTTAACCTGAAATTGATGCTCGAACAAACAGTGGCAAAGGGGACTCAGGGACTCACTTCGTCCATCTCCAAATGGCCAAAGCACAGGACTTGCTGATTCGCCCCAGTTGGAATTTTCGACGGTCAAACACATTAAAGGACGCCTTCCAAATCTTCTACTAGTAGCAAGAACGCTACTAGTAGCTGCTGGCCTTACTAGTAGCAAATAGCTACTAGTAACAAAGGGCATCGCTACTAGCAAGAAGCTTCTAGTAGCCTCTGGCATTACTGACATCCATCGGTGTCCCAACACCCACCTCCAACGGAGCAGCCGGAGGCATCAAGCGTGTAGACCTTGGAAGGCACAAGAGGATGCAATCGGGCGGACACACAAGCTAAACCATGGAAGCCAATAGCGATGGCCTCCACCCTACTAGTGATGGCCCGCAAGCTACTAAGTGAGAACCCACATTGGATGGAATCACTCTCCCTCCATACCACCGTGACCGGTGGAACTTGGTACCTGAATTGATGTGAATCGAGGTGAGGAAAATTACCCCAAATCAGGAACCAAGCCAATAAAGACATTGCCAGCCTCCACAGGCTTCATGTCTGCCAAAACTCATCTTCCAACACAGTGCTGCTCCCTCAGTTTCCTTGGAAAACAAAGGGAATCCCTACAAACGATGCACTTGTTAGTAGCAATGCACGTCTCAACGGGTCGTCCACCGGTCGACGTCAGGACGTCGCTGAATCCCTGCGCATCCGGACACCCTTCTGGCACGACACACCTGAGGTGGAGGATGTGCGACGGGACAGGAACTTCTTCCAATATTTCAAACACAGAACTTGTTACTACTAGCTTCTTGTTACTACTAGTAAGGCACCTGTTACTACTAGCGTGGCACTTGTTACTACTATAAGATGATAAAGCAGTGAGGAATGTAGTGTATTATATAAATAATATGTAGTTATTGGTTTGTATTTTCTACATATTATACTTAGGAGAGCTGACAAAGTGAGCTGTTTCCTGTTCAAACTCTGAATTTGAGCCATCCATCTTGCGCATACCGAGGTCTTCACTGGCCAAGCCATTCAGTGCAGCGGCCAGCGCCTGTAGGAGATATGAGCGAAGCCCATCAGGGAGGTGCTGCAGGAAAACTCTCTGCTCTTCCAACGATTAGATGAGACTTGAAATCATCCAATATTGATCTCTTTTGTTTTTAAAGATCATTTAATCATCTCATCTTCGATCCGTTTTATGAAGCGTTCTTGGATCATCTAACCCGTCGATACCTCTCGTCTGAAACCAACCACCGGTGCCCAAAGCCCAAAGACCGGGAGCTCCGTACGCTGCAGGCCACTGAGCTGTTGGAGAAGTTGCTGGGCCTCGCCATCATCCGGGCACCGAAGCGGTGAAAGAACTGGTCGCACCTGGCTTCACCTGAACCACCTGAAATTAACATGTAGCATGTGGATGTGGATGTGGATGTTGGAATGCACGATGTGCCGGCAACCGACTCCAGTGGTTGAAGGACGGCTTCCGACTCTCCATCTGCGATCCCCACGTGCGCGCATCCGCCGCGGTGACCGTGGCACCCGAAAGCCTCGGGTGAGCGTCTGGTGCGACGACCAAAAACGTCACTGTCAAGGTGATGCACAAAGAACTTCTCGATGAGTTTCTCAAAACAGGAGTTGTATGTTTGTTCATGGCCTGGGCCCTCGAACTTACTAGCGATGGCCTCCTACCTACTAGCGATGGCCTCCAACCTACTATAGTGAATGCCTCCTACTAGCGATGGCCTCCAACCTACTAGCGAATGGCCTACTAGC